CCATTTACATTCCATGAGATGAAGGTGTAAGTACTAGCCATAGTTATAACAACATACTATATCAGACAGTGGTCTCGCACAGTAGATTGGCCTATCCCTGTGACCCAGGGACAGGTCAAGCAATGAACTAAGTATAGAATTCTCATAAGGTGCATAACTGTATCCACAGTGTCTGTCAATATAAGCCGGAGTCCAAGGTTTCTTGGAAAAGTCTATGGCAACAAGTAGACAGTGAAAAAAACTGACAAGGCCAGTGTGGGTAATCAAAAAAAAAGTTTTGGTAAAAGCTCACTTCATTAAACCAAACATACTTACTCCAATTGCCCTCGCAACCAGCAAAAGGCAAAACGATTCTGAAAAAAACAAGCAGTAACAACCGAACTCTCCATGGAGAGAGATACTGGATAGCAACAAAATGTCCTCGCAGGACAGATGGGTAGGGGGGGCCCAACGTCAAGGGATCAGCCACAGATCCAAAGGGACTTACTGATCTCACTGATGGAATCGTGAAACATATACAATAGAGTGCTCCATTAAGTTTCAATCCGCCATATAGGATAATGTAGCAGGAATGTTCATAATGTATATGGAATGTCAGTGAGCGCTATGGGTGTGTAGAAAGGTATAAGCTTCTGGCACTAAAGGACCGCCCTTGGTATCCTCACTAGTGAATGAAATATAAAAGGTGCAGCGCTAAAGTAATGAATTAATCAAATGAAATACTTCTAAAAGACCACTCAGTGTCATGGATACCATTACCACAGTTATCAGTATATTAATTATTGCTATATTAATAACTCATGAACTCTCTCACTTTAGACTGGTAGCACTGATCAGAGCGCCTCACTGTGTCTGCCTTTCAATATTGCTGCTATTCGTTCTATTGCTGCCTCTATTCACCTTATTATTTATTTATGTATATGCACATGTTTTAGAAGTATTTAATTTGATTCATTCATTACTTTAGCGCTGCACCTGTTATACTTCATTCAGGAATGTTCATAAACTTAAGAAAATCACATCTAAGTGCAGAACAAGAACAAATAAAGCATGATGGTGTGCAGCTTAGGTTGGTAGTGTTTTCTTCGAAGTGTGCTCGACCTGATCAAGCCAATTGGAGGCATCAGAGGGAGAATTAAAGAAGTGAATATTGTTTTGGGCAGCCACTCGGAGATGTGCTGGGTATAACATAGCATAGGTGACCTCAAAGCGCCTAAGGTGTTTTCTTGACTTTCATGAACTTTGTCCTCCGTCACTGCAATTCAGCAGAGAAGTCAGGTTAGAATGAAATCTGGACATTGTCCACAATCATAACATCCCCCTTCATTCTAGCTTGAAACAAGATGGCATCTTGACCTTTAAAGTTCAGGAGCTTAAAGAGGAACAGGCAAGGAGGCTCTCCCAGTCTAGGAGGCCTAGCAGGCACTCTGTGAGCCCATTCTACCACAAACATAGGGGAGAAAGAATCTCTACCAAAAGTGTTAATAAGCCAGTTTTCTATAAAGGTGACTGGGTTCTTGGCTTCTGCTTTCTCAGGAATGCCCACTGCTCTCACTTTGTTCCTCCTAAGTTTGTTCTCCATGTCTTCCAAACTGGCTGCATGATTGGAAGTAAGTGATTGCACATATTACTCATCGCAATGCAATGGCGCCAGGTCATCTTCCACTCTACTCAGTTGCCCCTCCATGGCTGTCATGCGGTCTCTTAGTTTCTGCATGTCTTTTCTGACCAAGGTGAGTTCTATTTTAACACCCTTGATTTCAGTGGTTAGGTTAGTATGGGCAGTATTGCAGGAAGTAACTACCATACAGATTTCCCTAAGGGTAGGTTCAGGTTCAGCAGGATCACGGTCCTGGGGCACTGTTTCAGGAGGTAAGAGGGCCGAGTTACTCACGGTGTCCCAGCTAGATGGATCAGCGGGTTCTCCAAGCCAAGTGATTGCAGGCCCCTCCATTACAAGATCCGGTTAAATAGACTCAGGGAGTAGGGCAGCTGTCTTGGTGGTAGGCTCCTTAGCAGGAGTTTTAGGAAAGTTTCTAGGCCGCTTCTCTAGCCGAGCAGTGCGGGCAGACGGCATCTTGGCCCACCTGGTTGGCGGCCACTTGGGAGTCCTTACCCTGTCTAGACATAGCTGGGCTCAGAATGAAGATGCCAAGGGAGAGGGTGATGCATGGAGCTTTTGGCGGGCAAGAGCCTTCAGAGTGTCCTATTCCATGAGCCGCAAGCCACACCCTAACCACATATTTAATTTGTCCACTGCTGATTTGCTCCAAATACTGAACCATGTACCCAAATGTCTTACCAGAACCAATGGTGTATAGCATAATACAGGCTAAATAGAGAGTCAGTTATCCAGCTGTCCATCCAGAATCGCTGGTTAAGGAAAGTGCACAGCATAAGTATAGGGTTAATTTTGGGACTGTCCACCAAGAACTACTGTATATTATTCCAGATACAGCCTACATTTTATTCATCCAACTGTTTATGTAGTCATGTTTCCAGAACTGCTAGATTACAGTCCAGACACAGCCTAAATATAGTCATGTATCCAACAGTACATCCAGAAGCCCTGGTTTATAGCCTAGATATAAATACATTTATCCAAATGTACATCCAGAATCGTTGGTTTATAGCATAGGATATGCACAGCCCATATATAGATCAATTTATCCACCACTGTATGCTACTGTTCCAGGCTTGTTAGCACTCATCAGTACATAGGTGAGGGAGAAAAGAGAAAAGGAGACTATGGATTCAGTTAATTGCCAGATGGGAACCCTACAATGGAATACTATAAAATATTTTGCTGGCTCCTAATAAGAGAAGGTATCTTTCTGGTCCTATTCTCCATAATGTGATTGGATGGGCTGCCCCAGGGGAAAGGATGGAACAAATGCATACTGCAAACTGGTTAACTTGTTTGGACAACCAGATATGAATCACCTCAGAACAATCTGTTTTATAACACAGAGGACATTCATAATCCTGTATGCAGCTGTAGAAAATAATTCTACTGTTCCTATATCATATCTGTAGATAGAACAGAAGCAGTGGGGTCGAAATGGGTGTTGGTGGTTTTGGCTGTGGTCTCCCCCAGTAATAAGAGGAGACAGTGGATAGAATCCAGTCAGTCATCTACTTTGCGTATAGGATCTAAAGCATCTGTTTATGATATTATTTACTTATATTTCTGTATTTAGTAGTAATAATGCCTTCAATTCGAGGCTGTCATTGCCACATGCTATGCCTAGGAAACTGTATTAGTGAAAAAGTGCATTATCCGCCAAATATTGACTGCTTGGAGTCTATACTATGCTTGAAGAACTGGACATAACTGGCTCCAAACTGATTCATCATCTAAATTAAGTCAATCTTAAACTGGCCAGAAATATTACAATTTGTGCAGTCTCTGCACAATCTCCTTTAGATCTACCAAAAATGTAATATGAGAATATTCATAAACAATATTGAGGTTGGTGTAAAGAGTTCACTCTCAGTTTTTGCTGATGATACGAAACTAAGCAGTGTAAAAACTTCAAACCAAATAGCAAAAAAAATATAAAGACTGCTGCATCCACTGCACAATCTAAATACTAGATGTAAAACAACTAATTAAAAATGTGGGTGTGCTATCTCCTAAAAATTCCAAAGTGTAATTGTGCATACAATATAACTATATCAAGCCATATTATTTTATAAGCAAGCAAATTATAATCGTGTAAACTCAATACCTGGCAAAAACCTAAAAAAAATATAAACATTGAAAAGCAAATATAAACACAAATAAAATTGTGCCGTATAATTAAAAAGCATTAAGACATTAAAGCACGTGTAATATCATACTCTACTTTCAAAATAAAGATAAACATAGAAGAGTAATGGACAAATGTACATATGGACAATAATAAGCATAAAAAATTTTTTATTCAATATTGCAAACAAAAATAATAAAGATGAAGCAAACAAAAGTGCAAAATGTCCATGCAGATGGATAAATATCTTGGTGAACAGTCCAAAATCAAGATGGAAAATCCCAAAGAAGCTTTTGGAAATTGTTACAAATTCGGATGGTGCCATCCAGCTAGGGAAATATGGAAGATTGGACTACACCACTCACCATGTGATTCTTCTATTATATCAAGATCCAACATCCTCCTTTTCTCTTCTGCGACTACTTGGCGCCGAGCTTCTTGGATGCAATAGGGCTTTAAGTTAATTTTCACCCCTGACTTGGTCACAATATCATGCTTTATCATCGAAGTTAACCCTGGTAAATCAGAAAACAACTCTACTTCTTAGCAGAAATTCCTTGGTTTCTTGTTTTTGGCTTACTGACAGTGCCTCAGCGATTTCTACCCCAAGTGCAATAGAAGAACCTGCGGCAGCTATGGCCAAGGACGCTTGGACCATAGAGGATTCTCTGTATCTCCAGGGCTTCAATGAATTGACATGGTAGATTTGGTAGGGCTTCCTTATGCCAGGTTGATTTACTCTATAGTTAACCTCCCCCCCCCCCCCCCCCCCCCCCCCCCCCGCCATTTCGCCAGAAATTTACTCTCCACTGTGGGTACCGGCACAAGTAATCGGTCACTGGGGTGAAAGGTCCGGATCTTGGTTATACACTCTAGCCGGAGCCTGCTGAGCCTATTGCATGTGTGATTTAACAATGGGCATCACTTTTTAAATCCAGTCCTGCATTTGAGCAATATGCTCCACTACGCTTTTGAGAGAGGTTGCCTCTTGTTCCCAGGTCTCTTTTGCTATAACTAACAGGCCCCTTGGATGTCACCATACAACAACTCAAAAGGGGAAAAGCCCGGTGAAGGCTTGCGGTACCTCCCGTACAGCAAACATGAGGTAGGGAAAAAGGCAGTCCCAATCCCTTCCATCCGCTGCTACTACTTGCTTTAACATTCCTTTCAGCGTTTTGTTGAACCTTTCCACCAGACCATCCATTTGTGGGTGGTACACAGAAGTGAGTAAGTGAATAATTTTAAACAGCCTACACCAGGACTTGAAATTTCCACTCGCCTGCACGCCAATGGCGAGTAGAAATTATGGTGGGGGCAAGTGTGTCCCCCAGGGCTGTCTTGCTGAGCGGGCTCGGAGCTCAGGCCGGATCTGTCATTGGCACTGGGAGCCGTCAGACTGCGCAATAGCTGATCGCAGTGAAAGCAAAGCAAGGAGTGTGTGTGCTGTGCTCTCTGCCTCCCCCTAGAGTGCAGTACCCAGATCTGTGAGTGAACAAGGACGTACTGCAACTTTTTATGGGGGGGGGGTGTTGTGTGTGTGTGTACATGTGTGTGTCTGTGTATGCATGTAAAATTGTACATGTGTCTGTGTGTATGTACATGTGTGTATCTGTACAGGTGTCTGTGTGTATATATGTGTCTGTATGTGTGTGTGTGCATGTGTCTCTGTGCGTGTGTGTACATGTTTCTGTGTGTATGTGTGTGTGTATGTACAGTCAGGTCCATAAATATTGGGACATCGACACAATTCTAACATTTTTGGCTCTATACACTACCAAAATGGATTTGAAATGAAATGAACAAGATGTGCTTTAACTGCAGACTGTCAGCTTTAATTTGAGGGTATTTACATCCAAATCAGGTGAACGGTGTAGGAAGTACAACAGTTTGCATATGTGCCTCCCACTTCTTAAGGAACCAAAAGTAATGGGACAGAATAATAATCATAAATCAAACTTTCACTTTTTAATACTTGGTTGCAAATCCTTTGCAGTCAATTACAGCCTGAAGTCTGGAACGCATAGACATCACCAGACACTGGGTTTCATCCCTAGTGATGCTCTGCCAGGCCTCTACTGCAACTGTCTTCAGTTCCTGCTTGTTCTTGGGGCATTTTCCCTTCAGTTTTGTCTTCAGCAAGTGAAATGCATGCTCAATCAGATTCAGGTCAGGTGATTGACTTGGCCATTGCATAATATTCCACTTCTTTCCCTTAAAAAACTCTTTGGTTGCTTTTGCAGTATGCTTTGGGTCATTGTCCATCTGCACTGTGAAGCGGCGTCCAATGAGTTCTGAAGCATTTGGCTGAATATGAGCAGATAATATTCCCTGAAACACTTCAGAATTCATCCTGCTGCTTTTGTCAGCAGTCACATCATCAATAAATACAAGAGAACCAGTTCCATTGGCAGCCATACATGCCCACGCCATGACACTACCACCACCATGCTTCACTGATGAGGTGGTATTCTTAGGATCATGAGCAGTTCCTTTCCTTCTCCATACTCTCTCTTCCCATCACTCTGGTACAAGTTGATCTTGGTCTCATCTGTCCATAGGATGTTGTTCCAGAACTGTGAAGGCTTTTTTTAGATGTCGTTTGGCAAACTCTAATCTGGCCTTCCTGTTTTTGAGGCTCACCAATGGTTTCCATCTTGTGGTGAACCTTCTGTATTCACTCTGGTGAAGTCTTCTCTTGATTATTGACTTTGACACACATACACCTACCTCCTGGAGAGTGTTCTTGATCTGGCCAACTGTTGTGAAGGGTGTTTTCTTCACCAGGGAAAGAATTCTTCGGTCATCCACCACAGTTGTTTTCCGTGGTCTTCCGGGTCTTTTGGTGTTGCTGAGCTCACCAATGCGTTCCTTCTTTTTAAGAATGTTCCAAACAGTTGTTTTGGCCACGCCTAATGTTTTTGCTATCTCTCTGATGGGTTTGTTTTGTTTTTTCAGCCTAATGATGGCTTGCTTCACTGATAGTGACAGCTCTTTGGATCTCATCTTGAGAGTTGACAGCAACAGATTCCAAATGCAAATAGCACACTTGAAATGAACTCTGGACCTTTTATCTGCTCATTGTAATTGGGATAATGAGGAAATAACACACACCTGGCCATGGAACGGCTGAGAAGCCAATTGTCCCATTACTTTTGGTCCCTTAACAAGTGGGAGGTACATATGCAAACTGTTGTAATTCCTACACCGTTCACCTGATTTGGATGTAATTACCCTCAAATTAAAGCTGACAGTCTGCAGTTAAAGCACATCTTGTTCATTTCATTTCAAATCCATTGTGGTGGTGTATAGAGCCAAAAATGTTAGAATTGTGTCGATGTCCCAATATTTATGGACCTGACTGTAAATGTCTGTGTGTGTGTGTACAGGTGTCTCTGTTTGTGTGTGTTTGTTGGTGGCGAGTAACTCTAAGGCCTGGCTAGTAGCTCAGGACTTGAAATTTTAAGCCCTGGCCTACACAATTCTTTAGTGACCTTCTACATGAAGCGCGTGCCCTGGTAAGTTAACATATCCAAAGGGATACCCTCATGTGAAAATATAAAAGAAAGCTCTTTAGCAATACTCTTGACTAAGGGGTTCCTTAACGGGATTGCCTCTAGGTATCAGGTGGCATAGTCCAAGACAACTAGGATATACTGGTGCCCCCTAGCAGACTTAACCAAGGGACCCACAATATCCAAGGCAATCTTGTCAAAGGGCACATCAATGATGAGCAAAGGTACCAATGGACTCTGGAAATGGGAGATCAGAGCAGTGAGCTGACAAACTGGGCATGATTCGCAATACAATGCTACATCTTTGTGTACGCCTGGCCAGCACACTATAGGTCCTCAGTCCTGTCGGGTCTCCCTTTGTTGATTGGGCCTCTTCACGCTTGCGCATTAGGGTCCCCAACCGCATTTACCTGGTCCCCTGGTTGGTGGGCTTCTGACTCTTAAAGAATGATTCTTTGGGCACTACACCCCAAAGAAAGTCCTTAGTCCACAAGTACCGCTCCACAAGGGCCACCAGCGCCACCAGCTTATTGACATGTTTGGGATCAGCTCTTCTGGCAAACTGCTATATAGGAATTGGAAGGGCTCTTACAAGTGGTCCACTATGACTCTCTCCATGATCTGGGCTGGGGTGTTGACCTCCAGTTGTAACCACACCTGTGTGAGGTGAATGAGGTCATACATCTGGGACCTCACAGGTTGGTCCACCTTAAACTGCCAAGCATGGATGCACTGGGCTCCTAAGGCCATTGTTACCCGAAGGGGGGCCAGAATCTCCGTTTAAGACTGTGGTATTGCCGGGCCACAGCAGCACTCATATCAAAATAGTCCTTCGGTGGGTCTCTAATAAAAAAGGGGGTAAGGACCTCAGCCCACTGTTCCTGGGTAAGCCCTTTTCACTCAGCCACCCTCTGAAAAACCGTGAGGAAGACCTCCACATCATGATAATTAGGAATCTGCTTGCGCTCCTATGTAAAATACAATTGGTAAACGTGTGAAGCTGCTAACATCTGATCCAATACCCCAAGATCAAAACAATGCAGAAAAAATACAAATGATGTAGCGCTAAAACACCCAGTTAAAGCGTCAGTGCCTTAGGACATGCAACATGATGTTAAAATCCTATATGAACATAATACATATATGTGCGTGATGATACTGACAAAATGGAAAACAGATGTGCAACCCCTACACACAGTGCACATATATAAATATAAAGTCCAGTGATCCTGTATCAATATTTGCACTCAAACAGAGTCCTTGGACTGTATGTGGGCCCGCACACCACCACGTGCAATCCGAAATCAGCTGAAGTGGCCTCTCACCTCCTCCCTGCGACCCTGCAGGGCCACAGAGCTTTATCAGATCCCCACTGAGTCAAGGTATGCTTCCTCTTGAGTGGATGGTTGGTATATCCCCAGTATACAGCTTCCACCTCTCCTGTGGTATCCTCCGAGGTGAGCTGAGCAGGATGGACCCCAGCTCAAGCCCCCATGGGATAAAGGAAGCAAAAGACATCCTCCATAGTGTAAAACCGTTTAATAAATGCCGGAAAGTAAATGTATAATACACTCACATTTGCCAAATAACATACAAGCTGTTTCCCATAGCATGGGTGTATGCGTGTGGCTGAGGGTGTACCAAGATGGCGCCGCGCCGGAAGTGCGTCACCACGTATTGCCGTCGACGCGTTGCGTCACGTGACCCCGTGACTTCCTCAGGACTCCACATCATACTCGTCCATTTGTTGTAGTGCAGTCTGCACCCACTTTTATGTACTTGCAATATTGTCCACCAGTAGAGTCTTGTCAGCCAGGGACTGTATCTGACTGTATGAGCTGATTGAACTCTTTCTGCTCTTGCATGGCCACTTGGGTAGCTGCTGCAAGCTAACGGTTAGTTTCCTGTTGCTCTGTGTGTGCTTGTTACCAGCGTTCTAATTAGTTCTTCCATTATCCCAACTGTTTACAGGCACCAATGAACACAACATTTTAGTTTACTGCCCCTTTAAGAGTGCTGGCTTTTTAAGAATGCTTCTGCAAGAGGTTCAGTTTATGGATCTTGTGCTTGCTCAGGCTACCAATATGTAGAGGATCAGGCTCAAGGCCTGCTCACAGGACCAACTCACAGTTTTTTTAACAAAAGTGTCAGGTTTAATCCAAAGGATAGTAACAAAGAGAAGGTAGCCGCCTCTGGCCTTAACTCATAAGTAAATAAACTTCTGCTCTACTGAGCCTTACTGTGCCCATGGTCCAAAAAAGTCCTTGGTTAAAGGTAAGTGCCCTTTATGCCTCTTAGATTGTAAGCTCCAAGGAGCAGGGCAGTCCTAACCCTCTTGTATTGAACTGCATCGTTGCTGTATTGTCTCCCTTTATATTGTAAAGTGCAGAGCGAACTGTTGGCGCTATATAAATCCTGTATAATAATAATAATATTATTAAAGCAAACAACTGCATTCAAGCTCATAGTCACCTCCTCACACAGAGAGACACACACTGTCCCTGACAGTTAAGACCAGCTGCCTTAATCAAGACCTAGGCACAAAACATCAAAATGTGGTCCACGGAATTGGGAGTCTGCCCCTCCCAGAGCTCTATCAGACTCCCAGTAAAACCAGCCCTGGCACGGGATTTACTAACACAGGGTAAAGAAATATCTATCTTTACCATAAACTCTTTGCTGGCCTTACCTTAGATTGCAAATCTAAGAATCCACAGAGAAACATATATCCCATCGATCGCTTTTCCTGCCACTCTAACTGGTTTCACAGGCACCCCGCTACAGGGGATATGGGAAATGGCAGTGACATAATACACATACAGGTTAAACTGGATAGACAGTTGTCTTTATTCAACCTTACCAACTATGTAACATAATACCATAATCCAATCAATTTGCAACCTATTAGTCAGTTTCCTAAACTACACAGTTGTTCATAAATCTATACTTTACCATACACATTACAATCTGATTTTACATTTTTTAGATTTATTGATTACTATGTAGTACTTGCCCAACTGGATATTAAAGAAATGGATTGTTAAGGTAGACACTTGCATTATATAGTTTTGGTAGCTTTAAAAGAAATTGCACTGAGCTTGTAAAATTAGATAGTAATATTTATGGCCAGTTTAAAGTAGATTGCACAATCAGATTGTAAATGTAGGGTAACACAGTTTAGGGCCCATTTAAAACTATGTTG